CCCTTGTCTAGCCTCTAGGCCACAACTTTTCTACGGAAATCCAAATTTGAACCAATTCGAGATGACCAGTTTCTGGATGAAATTTTCCGATAAAAATCCTTTTCTAGCCTCTGGACCACAATATTTTTAACGAAAATCCGAATTTAACTCAATTCGAGATTTATATTCCAAGCAAATATAGTCCACCTGTTATGGGGCGTATACGTCTTATCACAAATCATACGTCCATTGGTCCCCAAAACATTTAATCTTCTGTGAAGTTCCTCCCAAAATCCAATTTTTCTAAATTATTTCCCAATCATCGTCCACCTTACCCTTTCACTGGCCACTTGAAGTCCCTTAAAGAGCTGAGAAACTGTGTATTGAATTTGAATTTTACGTTTTATATGGTAATTATTCAGACGGTTCTAGGCGAAAATTTCCTACCGAAAATTCTTGTCTGGCCTCTAGGCCACAACTTTTCTATGGAAATCCGAAATTAACTAAATTCAAGATTTATATTCTGAGCAAATATAGTCCATCTGTTATGGGGCGTATACGTGTTGCTACAAATCATACGCCCATTTGGACCCCAAAACAATTAATCTTCATACGTTATTCGCTGTGAAGTACCAGCCCAAAACCCCTCTTTTCTAAATGGTTTCTCAACCATTTTCCCCTGCATCCTTTCAGCGGCTATTGGAAGTGCCTCAAAGAGCTGAAAAACTGTGTTATGAATTTGAATTTTACATTTTGTAATTATTCCGACGTACAGTATATTTATATTCATGCAGTTTTTTATTAGCTCGCCCCCTCTTTCCCTCTCTTTCTTTCCCTCTCTCATTTGTGTATGCATGTCAAAAAAATCGGTCATTGTAAATGTATGGTATGGAATCGTGAGTGTGTGCGTGTGTGTGTGTATTTGTGAAACTTTATGGGGAGGAAATATGTGGGCCATAAATATTGTGTTGCATACTATTGTGAGCTGCTGGTCTTTTTTTTCACTCTGATGTTCATTTTGTCGTTTTTTGTTCTCGTTGCAAAAAAAGGAGGTCAACTTGTTTTCAATTTTTTTCTTTTTTTTTTTTGCGGTGTGGCAAATTTTCATTGTCATCACATGAACATGAATGCCAACCAGCCAGCCAGCAAGTAGAGAAATGAAAGTGAAAATAAGAGAATAATACGAAAAAAATCGTCCTCAAAAGTTCTTTTGTGTGTGCGTTTCTTTTGAGGAATTTTTTGGGGGGTATGGTGGCGTATGATTTCTTTTTTGTATTCAGAAAAATAAAAAATACGTATACGCAACATGGTTCCAAAAATTAATATTACTTACACGTTACTAGATCAGAATCTGATCTATGTTCCTACAGATATTCGTAGAAATCGGAGCTATGTATCCATGGAAAAATTCTCGGATTTTGAGTTATTTTTATGGGGTGGCGTATGATTTTTTTTTTTTTGAAAAATAAAAATAAGTATACGCAACATGGTCCCAAAAAATTAATATTACTTATAAGTTACCAAATCAGAATCTCAGCTATATTTCTATAAATATTCTTCGAGATCAGAGCTAAGTTTCCATGGACAAATTCGGGGATTTTGAGTTATTTTTTTCTTAAAAAATGGTTTAAATACGCAGCTATTTTTTAAAGAAAATATTTCTCAGATTCTAAACAATTTTTCCATTGACAAATATCTCGGATTCTGAGCTACTTTCACATAATAAAATTGCTTCGGATTCTGTACTAATTTTCCATAAAAAATTGTCAAAATTCTGACCTACTTTTCTATGGAAAAAGCGTTTGGTAAGAATTTTTGAGGGTATGATGGCGTATGATTTATTTATTATTTTAGAAAAATAAAAAATAAGTATACGCAACATGGTCCTACAAATTAATATTACTTATTCGTTACTAGATCAGAATCTGAGGTATTTTTCTATAAATATTCTTTGGAATCGGAGATATTTATCCATGGGCGAAGTCTCGGATTTTGAGCTATTTTTTCCATTGAAAAGTGCTTAAATTTGCAGCTATTTTTTAAAGAACAATTTCTCGGATTCTAAACCCTTTTTCCATAATTAATTTTCTCAAATTATGAGCTAGTTCCACATAAAAAATTGCTTCGGATACTGAACTAATTTTCCATAAAAAAAATTGTCAAAATTCTGACCTACTTTTCTATGGAAAAAGCGTTTGGTAGGCATTTTTGGGGGATATGATGGCGTATGATTTATTTATTAAAAAAAAAATAAAAAATAAGTATACGCAACATGGTGCCACAAATTAATATTTCTTATACGTTACTAGATCAGAATCTGAGGTATTTTTCTATAAATATCTTTCGGGATCAGAGCTTAGTTTTAATGGAAAAATTCTCGGAGTGTGAGTTATTTTTATGGGGTGGCGTATGATTTTTTTTTAATAAAAATTAATATTACTTATACGTTACTAAATCAGGATCTGAGCTATTTTTCTATAAATATTCTTCGAGATCAGAGCTAAGTTTCCATGAAATTTTCTATAAAAAATTGACAAAATTCTGACCTAGTTTTCTATGGAAAAAGCGTTTGGTGTGCATTTTTGGGGGGTATGATGGCGTATGATTTATTTTCTTTTTTGAAAAATTCAAAATTAATTATACGCAAAGGGCTCCCAAAAAATTAATATTACTTATACGTTACTAGATCAGAATATGAGCTATATTTCTATAAATATTCTTCGGGATCATAGCTAAGTTTCCATGGACAAATTCTCGAATTTTGAGCTATTTGTTCCCTTAAAAAATGGTTTAAATACGCAGCTATTTATTAAAGAAAATATTTCTCGGACTCTAAACCACTTTTCCATAGATAAATTTCTTGGATTCGGAGCCACTTCCACATAAAAAATAGCTTGGGATACTGAACTAATTTTCCACCAAAAAAAATGTCAAAATTCTGACCTACTTTTCTATAGAAAAGTGTTTGTATTCTGGACTATTCTCTATAGAATCTTTGACAGATTCAGAGCTATTTTCCCATTGAATATTTTTTTCGAATTCCAAAACTATAAGTACCGCTGAGATTCAGAGCTAATTTTCCATAGAAAATCTCTATCGATTCTGATGTATTTTTTTCGCAGAAAAATTTGCTTTGATTCTGATTTCTTTTTCCCAGGAAAGAGGTGGTTGGATTCTAGCCTATTTTCCATAAAAATGTCGGAATTCAAGCTATATTTCCATGGAAAAGTTTCGTATTCAGGGCTATATTTTCCTACAAAAATTTTCCATGAAAAATCTCTTCCGATTCTGATGTATTTTTTCGCTGAAAAATTTGCTTAGATTCTGAGCTCTTTTTTTCCAGCGAAAAGTTGATTGGATTCTTTGGCCTATTTTCCATAGAAAATTTTTTCGGAATTCAAGCTGTTCCATGGAAAAAGTTTCGTATTCAGGGCTATATTTTCCTACAAAAATTTTTCATGGAAAATCTCTTCCGATTCTGATGAATTTTTTCGCAGAAAAATTTGATTAGATTCAGAGCTCTTTTTTCCAGGAAAAAGTAAATCGGATTCTAGCCTATTTTCCATAAAAAATTGTCGGAATTCATTCATATTTTCCCACAAAAATTACTCGGAATTGAAGCCATTGTTTTCATCGAAAAATTGCTCTGATTCACAGCTATTTTTTCCACAGAAAAATTGTCCCGATTCACAACTATTTTTCCATAGAAAAATTGTTCGGTTTCAAGGCTATTTTTCCATTGAAAAATTGCTCGGACTCAGGGCTATTTTCCATAGAAAAAATTGCTCGGATTCAGAGAAAAATTGCTCGAATTCAGAGCTATTTTTTCATGGAAAGACTGCTCGGATTCAGAGCTATTTTTCCATAGAAAAATTGCTCGGATTTATAGCTTTTTTCCATAGAAAAATTGCTCGAATTCCGTAATATTTTTCCATAGAAAAATTGCTCGGATTCACAACTATTTTTCCATTGAAACGTGCTCGGATTCAGGGCCATTTTCCATAGCAAAATTGCTCGGATTCAATTTTTTTTTTTTTCAATAGAAAAGTTGCTCAGATTCAGAGCTATTTTTCCACAGAAAATTGCTCCGATTCAGAGCTATTTTCCATAGAAAAATTATTAGCATTCAGAGCTATTTTCCATAGAAAAATTGTCTGGATCCACAACTATTTTCTCATAGAAAAGTGCTCGGATTCAGACCTTTTTTCACAGAAAAATTGCTCCGATTATGAGCTATTTTTTCAGAGAAAAATTGCTCGGATTCAAAGCTATTTTCCCATAGAAAAATTGCTCGGATTTTTTTTTCCATAGAAAAATTACTTGGATTCAAAGCTATTTTTTTTTCTAGAAAAATTGCTCGGATCCAGAGCTATTTTTCCATAGAAAGAAAGATTCGGATTCAAAGGTATTTTACATTGAAAAATTGCTCAGATTCTGGGCTATTTTTTTTTATAGAAAAAATTGGAAAAATCGGATTCTGGACCATTCGGATTTTGAACTTTTTCCATGAAAAAATTGCTCGGATTCTAGGTACTTTTCATAAAAATATCTAAAATCTAAATGGCGCCCAACGTGGGTAATAGGTATATCCCAAATTTCTGTCGCATGTGATTAAAAAAGATATAACAGAGTGGAACCTATTCTTTAAAAAAATCGGAAAAAAAAATAAAAAATTAATAAATGGCGCCCAACGTGAAGTAAAGAATTATTTTCTTAAACCTTCTTAACTTAATTCTGATAACAATGAAGATCGGAAAACAGAAACATTTCTTAAAAAATACCTTTAAAAAAATCGAAAATTATATTTTTTAGAAAAGTGGCGCCCAACGTAAATTTTAAACCAATTTCCCAATAAAAAAAATCCTCCATATCGAGAGAAAACCATTTAATAACACTTATATGTCACCTAAATGTTAATAAATATCAATTATACGCCTTTGAAATTATTTTGTATTCTTTTTATTCTTTAATGACTACAAAAAAACTAATTTCTCTCCTCTTTTCCCTTTCTCTCTTTCCAGCTGTGAGAGCCGATCGCATGCGAGGCGGCCGCAATAAATTCGGACCCATGTACAAACGGGATCGGGCGCGAAAACTGCAGGTAATGCGACAACGACAAATTGCATTGCAGGCCCTACGAACGTCCATGGGTACGGGAGATATGAAACCGACGCCCCTGTCCCCCGGCTATCAAACCTATTCGAATATGAATATCAAACAAGAAATACAAATACCTCAGGTAAGCATGACCCCTGCCCCTGCTCTGCCAGCTAGCCATCCAGCCAGCCGGCCAGCTCCTTTTCCTCCGTTCCTCAATTGGCTTGGTATTTCAAAAGAGTCAATGATGTTGTCTCACCAAATTCACACAATTGACCTTGACATTGACCCATTTCCCCAGTTTTCTTCTTCGACTAAAGCCAAAGACATAACAAACACCAGCAACAAGGCCGGCCAAAAAAAAAAAAAAACAAAACTCAACATCATCCACATCAACATCATTGCACTTCTCTATAAAAAAAAAACTACGAAAAAGTAGGACAATCATTTAATCATCATTTAGCTTTTAGTTTCGTTTCGTTTTTTTTTTTGCGTTTTTTTATTTGGATTCATTTGATGGTTAATAGAAGAGAGTGAGAAGAAAGGCACACAAACAGACACACACATATATTCACGTAACTACAGTGAAACTGGCATGGATGTTTGAATGAGGAATGAAGGAATGCGACATTTTTAGCCAAGAAACTGGAAGAAAATACAAAAAAGAATAAAATATTAAATTGGCGGCCAACGTGTATTTTTTAAATTTTTGGCTCAATTCTGATCATAATGAAACAATATTGGAAGATTTTTTTAAGTTTGAAAAAGGAAAAAATTGGAAAAAATTTCAATAATTGAATGGCGCCCAACGTGTGAAAATGTTTTTTTTTATTTTTGAGCTAAATTTAGTTATCAATGAACCGAAAATAACCAAATTGTAAATATTTGGAGTTTTTAATATTTTTTTTTAGTTCTGAGAAAAAAATCGAAATTTTTTTCAAAAATTCAGTGGCGTCCAATTTTTAGGCTAAATTTAGATTTCAATGAAGCGAAAATAACAACATTTGAACTATTAGAAGATTTTTTTAGTTTTGAAAAAGAAAAAAATGGAAATTTTATAAAAAATAAATGGCGCCCAACGTGTAAAAATAATTTTTGTCAATTTTTAGACTACATTTAGATATCAATGAAGCGAAAATAACAATATTTGAAATATAAGGAGTTCTTAGTAATTTACTAGAATTTTCTAGTTAAAAAAAAACGAAAATTTAAAAGAAAATAAATAAATGGCGCCCAACGTGTAAAAATAATTGTTGTCAATTTTTAGACTAAATTGAGATATCAATGAAGCGAAAATAACGAAATTATAAATATTATGAGTTCTTAGTAAATTACGAGATTTTTTTATTTTTGAAAAAGAAAAAACTCGGAAATTTTTATAAAAAATAAATGGCGCCCAACGTGTGAAAATAATTCTTGTTCAATTTTTAGACTAAATTTAGATATCAATGAAGCGAAAATAAAAACATTTAAATATAAGGAGTTCTTAGTAAATTACGAGAATTTTCTAGTTTTGAAAAAGAAAAAAATCGAAAATTTTAAAAAATTGATAAATGGCGCCCAACGTTTTAAAATATTTTTTTTTTTTTTTTCAATTTTTAGACTTAATTTATATATCAATGAAGCGAAAATAAGATCATTTTTAATATTTCGAGATTTACCTAGATTTGAAAATGAAAAAAATATAAAAAAAAAATCTAAGATGAAATGGCGCCCAACGTTTGAAAATAATTCTTTTAAATTTTTAGACTAAATTTAGATATCAATGAAGCGAATATAAGGAGTTAAATATAAGGAGTTCTTAGCAAATTACGTGAATTTTCTAGTTTTGAAATAGAAAATAATCGAAAAATTAAAAAAAAAAAAATAAATGGCGCCCAACGTGTGAAAATAATTTTTGTCAATTTTTAGACTACATTTAGATATCAATGAAGCGAAAATAACAACATTTAAAATATAAGGAGTTCTTAGTCATTTACGATAATTTTTTAGTTTTGGAAAGAAAAAAAAAAAGTCGAATAATTTAAAAAAAATAAATAAATGACGCCCAACGTGTAAAAATAATTTTTGTCAATTTTTAGACTAAATTGAGATATCAATGAAGCGAAAATATCGAAATTATAAATATTAGGAGTTCTTAGTAAATTACGAGATTTTTTTAGTTTTGAAAAAGAAAAAACTCGGAAATTTAAAAAAAAAAATGGCGCCCAACGTGTGAAAATAATTCTTGTCAATTTTTAGATTAAATTTAGATATCAATGAAGCGAAAGTAAAAACATTTAAATATAAGGAGTTCTTAGTAAATTACGAGATTTTTCTATTTAAAAAAAAAGAAAAAAATAAATAAATGGCGCCCAACGTGTAAAAATTATTTTTGTCAATTTTTAGACTAAATTTCGATAAAAATGAAGCGAAAATAAGAACATTTTTAACATTACGAGATTTTTTAGTTTTGAAAATGAGAAAAATCTTAAAAATAAATTTCAAAGATTAAATGGCGCCCAACGTGTTAAAATAATTTTTGTCTTCTTGTTTTAGGCAAAATTTAGATATCAATCGAAGCGAAAATAACAAAATTTTGAATGTTAGGAGTTTTTAGTATTTTAGTTAAAATTTTTCAGTTGTGAAAAAAGAAAAAAAATGATTTTTTTTGTGATTTTTTTTTTTTTTTTTTTTTTTTTTTTTTTTGATTAATACTCTTATCTACGAAACGAAAATAACAAATGCTTAAATATTACAAAATATTTGAAAATGTAAAAGTACAAAATTTCCCGAACTATCTCGAAACAAAGCGGCGCCCAACGTGCAAACCCATTTTTTCTTTTTATTATTTATTTCTTTATTTATTATTTTTTTTTTTCTTACAAAATCTTTGTAAGATAGTATAATCAATGCAATAAAAATGTTTTATTGCCTTAATTTTGAACTGCTTTTGGAAATTGTGCTCAATTTATAACAATAAAATGGCGCCCAACGTGGAAAAAATTGTCAATTTTCAGGCTCAATTTTAATATCTGTTGAGGGAAAATAATACATTTTTAAATATTACAATGTTTTTGAAGATTTTAAAATAAACATTTTTGCAAAATTAACATTATTATAAAGTGGCGGCCAACGTGGAATCCCCTTTTTTGCCACAAGTTCTTGAAGGATAGAAGAATCAATGCCTTTAAAATATTGCATAGCGTTAATTTTAAACAGGTTTGGGAATAGTGAAAATAGAAAATAGCGCCCAACGTGAGAAAATATTTAATTTAATTTAATTTATTTTTTTAATTTTTAGGTTATATTTTGATATTAGTGAAGCTAAAATAATAAAAGTTTAAATATTAAAATAGTTTAAATATTAAGATTTTTACAAAAATTTAAATGCAAAATTTCAAAAATGTTCTTTACTGTACATCGGCGCCCAACATGGAAACATCCTTTTCTTTCACAAATTCTTTAAGCATAGAAGAATCAATGCATTTATAATATTACATAGCTTTAATTTGAAACAGGTTTGGGACTAGTGATCAATTGTTTGGAAAATGGCGCCCAACGGGAGATTTTTTTTTTTTTTTTTGCAATTTTAGGTTATATTTTAATATTAGTGAAGCTAAAATAATAAAAGTTGGAAATGTTGGAAATTTAAAAAAAAAATTGGCGCCCAAAGTGATTTTAATTAATTGTTCGGCTTAATTCTGCTATCAATGAAGCCAAAATAGATAAAATCAAATATCAGAAGCTATTAATAAGGTTTAAAAAAGAATATATTCGAAAAGGATCTTAATAATAAAGTGGCGCCCAACGTGGAAAACCTTCTTATGTCAAAAATTATCAATAGGAGGGAGGCTTCTATTCATTTTTATTTACAATTGGCGCCCAAGGTGAAAAAACTAATTTTTAAATTTGTTTGTCTAAATTTAAGTTTTCGAAAATTGTTTTAAAAATAAAGTGGCGCCCAACGTGAAAAACATTTTAATGTCAAAAATTCTCAATAGGATGGCGGCATCTATTTATTTTTAATGTTGTGAAAGGTTTATTTTGGGTAGATTTAAAAAAAATTAATTTTCAAAAAAAATAATAAATCAATCGGCGCCCAACGTGAACAAATGTAATATTACAAAATTTTGTTAGGATAGTGGTACTTACGCTGTCTATAATATTTTATTCGCCTAGAAGCTAGGCAAGGATTTTTATAGATTTTTTTTTCGCCAAAAAAACTAGGTCTATATTTTCTATAGAAAATATTTCGCCAAGAATTTAGGCAAAGATTTTCTGTAGAAAAATGTTCGCCGAGAAGCTAGGCAAGGATTTTCAAGAGAAAATTTTCACAGAGAAGCTAGGCAAGGGTTTTCTATGGTTCTATAGAATATCTTAAAGAAAAACTTTACTCGAAAGCTAGGCAAGGATTTTCTTTAAAAAAAATGATCGGAGATGATCTGGGAGAGGCCTGTCCCCTGAACCTTAAATAATTATAACAAAAAAATCTATAAATTTCCTTATTTTTAATACTTCTGCCCCCCAAACTATACCCCCCAAAACTAATAAATGTTTTCTCTCTCTCATTGCAGGTATCCTCTCTCACACAATCGCCCGACTCATCACCCAGCCCCATTGCTATTGCCTTAGGTCAGGTCAATGCCAGCACCGGTGTGATAGCCACGCCCCTCAACGGCAGTGGTGGCAGTGCAGGTGGCGGAGGCGGCGGCGGTGGTGGCGGTAATAATGGCAGCAGCAACAACAACAACAGTACGAGTGATGGCATCAACCGCGTTGGCAGTGGTGGTGGCAGTGGAAATTGCCACGACACCGGTACCGGGTCTCTACAAAACGCCAGCGATTCAAAATTGTGGTATAGTTGGACCAACAATCTACATCTGTTTAACAAATTTCGAATACTTTCCTCTGGCCATATTTCGTTTTTGTATTATTTTTTGTGTTTTTTTAAATTAAAGGCGAAAGGGAATTGTGATAAAGATGAAGAAGAAAAAGAAGAAGGAGTATGGGTAAAGGGAAGACAAGTTTCTACAAAGAATGGAATATCATTTCGGAATTGGAATAATTATTAAATTGCAAAGGGGTTTGTTTGTGGAGGGGGTTGGATGGAGTTTGCAATATTTTTGAAGATTGGAAAAAATTAAAAAAAATATATATTTAAAACTTGAAAATGGCGCCCAATGTGAAAATGATCTCTTCTGAAAACTCTTGAAAGGATTAATGTCATATGTGAAACAAAAATTAGAGAAAATTGGAATTTCGTCCCTAAAATATAACGAAACGATTAAATATGTCTGAAACTCAATTGGCGCCCAACGTGGAAAATAAAATTCTTATAAATTATGGTTGCTAAGTGACATCAATGCTGTGAAAAATTAAAAGATTGAATGGCAGGAGATTTTTTTTCCAAAATTCAGGCAAATGAACGTGTAAAATTTAATTGGCGCCCAACGTGGAAAAATGTAATAATGATAATTAATAACGACATGATTGCAACAATAATGAATAGAAAATGGAAATCTTGAAGGCTTTTTAAATTTAATGACAAATTCAAAGAAAAAAAATTCCCAATGGAAAAATGGCTCCCAATGTGGAAACAATAAAAGTCCTCAAATAACCAGCTGAATATTGACATTAATGAAACCGAAAGAATGGAAGCTGAAAAAACAACAACATTTTTCGAAGTTTACCAAAAAATAAAAAGAAGACAGTAGAATTCCTACTGAAAACATAATTGGCGTCCAACGTTGAAAACATAATAATGATAATTAATAACGACATAATTGCAGCAACAATGAATAGAGGATGGAAATCTTGAAAACTTTTTAAAAAATAATGACAAATTGAAGGAATGAAAAATAACTAAAGGAAAAATGGCGCCCAATGTGGAAATTTAAAAATTCTTCAAATTATTAACTGAATATTGACATAAATGAAGCCGAAGGAATAGAAGCTGAAATATCTATACAATTTTTCGTAGTTTACCAAAAAAATAAAAAAGACAGTAGAATTGGTACTGAAAACATAATTGGCGCCCAACGTGTGAAAATATAATTTTTATAATTAATAACGACATAATTGCATCAAATTGGCGCCCAATGTGGAAATTTTAAATTCTTAAAATTTTTAGCTGAATATTGACACTAATGTAGCCGAAGGAATAGAAGTTGAAAAAACTACAACATTTTTCGAAGTTTACCAAAAAATGAAAAAATGGAGCCCAACATGGAAATTTTAAAATTCTTCAAATTTTTAGGCGAATACTAATATTAATGAAGCCGAAGGAATAGGAGCTGAAATATCTATAACATTTTTCGCAGTTTACCAAAGTATAAATGAAAATAAAAAAATCAATAAATTTGCAATTGGCGCCCAATGTGGAAAAAGGTAATTCTGGTAATTTTTGCATGCCTGATGAAATTGAAAAAGCGAACATGAAATAAAGTTTAAAAAAAATATTTTATCACATATTAATGGAAAGAAATTGCCTAATGGATAAATGGCGCCCAATGTGGAAACAATAAAATCCCTCAAATAACCAGCTGAATATTGACATTAGTGAAGCCGAAGGAATAGAAGCTGAAAAAACTACAAAAATTTTTGCAGTTTACCAAAAAATTAAAAAGACAGTAGAATTGCTACTAAAAACATAATTGGCGTCCAACGTGTGAAAATATAATTTTTATAATTAATAATGTAATGATTGCAGCAATAATGAATAGAATAGGGAAATCCTGAAGAATTTGTAAATTTAATGACAATTTAAAGAAAAGAAATTTACTAATGGAAAAATGGCGCCCAAAGTGGAAATTTTAAATTCTTCAAATTTTTAGCCGAATATTGATATTAATGAAGCCGAAAGAATAGAAGCTGAAACATCAACAATATTGTTTGCAGTTTACCAAAAAAATTAATGAAGGTGAAAAAATACAATGAAATTGCAATTGACGCCCAATGTGGAAAAATGTAATTCTGGTAATTTTTGCATGCCTGATGACGTTAACACAAAACCAACATGAAATAAAGTTAAAAAAATATTTAATCACATAGTAATGGAAAGAAATTGATTAATGGATAAATGGCGCCCAACGTGGAAATTTTTAAATTCTTCAAATTACTAGCTGAATATTTACATTAATAAAGCCGAAGGAATGAAAGCATGAAATAGCTACAAAATGTTTCGCAATCTACCAAAAAATAAATGAGAATTAAAAAAATCAATAAAATTGCAATTGGCGCCCAATGTGGAAAAAATTATTTGTTATAATTTTTGCATGCCTGATGACGATAAATAAAGCGAACATGAAATAAAGTTAAAAAAATATTTAATCAAATATTAATACAAAGAAATTGAAAAATGGATAAATGGCGCCCAAGGTGAAAATTTAAAAATTATTCAAATTATTAACCGAATATTGACATAAACAAAGCCGAAAGAATAGAAGCTGAAATATCTACAAAATTTTTCGCATTCTACCAAAAAATAAATTAAAATAAAAAAAATCAATAAAAGTGCAATTGGCGCCCAATGTGGAAAAAATGTAATTCTGGTAATTTTTGCATGCCTGATGACGTTAAAAAACGCAAACATGAAATAAAGTTAAAAAAATATTATTTCATCACATATTAATGGAAAAAAATACCTAATGGATAAATGGCGCCCAACGTGGAAATTTTAAAATTCTTCAAATTATTAGCTGAATATTGACATAAATGAAGCCGAAGGAATGAAAGCATGTAATAGCTACAAAATGTTTCGCAATCTACCAAAAAATAAATGAGAATTAAAAAAAAAATCAATAAAATTCCAATTGGCGCCCAATGTGGAAAAGTGTAATTATTATAATTTTCGCATACCTGATGATGTTAGAAAAGCGAATATCAAATACAGATAAAAAAATTATTTAACCAAATATTAATGGAAAAAAAATTGCCTAATAAATAAATGGCGCCCAATGTGAAAATCATAGAGCCTTCAAATTATTAGCCGAATATTGGCAATAATTGAAGAAAAAAGAATACAAGCTGAAATAGCTACAAAATGTTTCGCAGTTTAGCAAAAAATAAATGAAAATGTGCTTAAATTAGGTTACAAAGGCATTCCGCAACCAAAAAAATTATCTCCATAGGAATTACTCCAGATCTTCGACACAATGGCGCCCAACGAGGATTTAAAAGTAACATCAAACACACTCAAACAAACCCCCTCTGCAATTTACAACTTTTCTTTGTAACAAATAGTTCTCTCCCCTCTCCCCCCTTTTAACTAACATTTCAATTGGCCTTAAAAATAAACTTTTGAAAATTTTGCCCCTCCCCTACCCTGACCAGACTCTAGTTTAAAAATATTAATTTTTTCTTTTCTTCTTTTCTCCAACTATTTTCAGCTTCGACTCGGGCACACATCCTTCAAGTACCGCCGATTCCATAATAGAACCTTTAAGGCAAGTCAGATTTTTGATATATTTTTTGGATACAATTTTTAAATATTTGATTTTTTTGCTTTTTTCCAGGGTATCACCGATGATCAGGGAATTTGTACAGTCAATAGACGACAGGGAATGGCAGACGCAACTATTTGCCCTGCTGCAGAAACAAACGTACAATCAAGTTGAAGTGGATCTCTTTGAGTTAATGTGTAAAGTTTTGGATCAGAATCTATTCTCACAGGTCGATTGGGCCCGAAATACGGTGTTCTTTAAGGATTTGAAGGTAAGGACGGAGAAAAAATAACACCAGTATTATTTTTTATGAAAAAATTCAAGCTGCCAAGCTAATTTTCCTAGGAAAATAGGCTCAGTTGCCTAACAAATTGTCTATGGAAAATAGGCTCAGTTACCGAGCAAATTTTCTATGAAAAATAAGCTCGATTGCCGAGCAAATTTTCTATGGAAATTAGGCTCGGTAGCCGAGCAAATTTTCTATAGAAAATAGGCTCGATTGCCGAGCCAATTTTCTATGGAAAATAGACTCGGTTGACGAACAACTTTTTCAAGAAAAATAGGCTCGGTTGCCAAGCCAATTTTCTTTGGAAAATAGACTCGGTTGCCGAACAAATTTTCTTTGGAAAATGGGCTCGATTGCCGAGCAAATTTCCTATGGAAAATAGGCTCGATTGCCGAGCAAATTTCCTATGGAAAATAGGCTCGATTGTCGAGCAAATTTTCTGTGAAAAATAGGCTCGGATGCCGATAAAATTTTCTATGGAAAATAGGCTAGGTAGCCGAACAAATTTTCTATGGAAAATAGGCTCGGTAGCCGAGCAAATTTTCTATGGAAAATAGGCTCGGATGCCGATCAAATTTTCTATGGAAAATAGGCTCGGTAGCCGAGCAAATTTTCTATGGAAAATAGGCTCGGATGCCGATCAAATTTTCTATGGAAAATAGGCTCGGTAGCCGAGCAAATTTTCTATGGAAAATAGGCTCGGTAGCCGAGCAAATTTTCTATGGAAAATAGGCTCGGTAGCCGAGCAAATTTTCTATGGAAAATAGGCTCGGTAGCCGAGCAAATTTTCTATGGAAAATAGGCTCGGTAGCCGAGCAAATTTTCTATGGAAAATAGGCTCGGTAGCCGAGCAAATTTTCTATGGAAAATAGGGTCGGTAGCCGAGCAAATTTTCTATGGAAAATAGGGTCGGTAGCCGAGCAAATTTTCTATGGAAAATAGGCTCGGTTGCCGAGCAAATTTTCTATGGAAAATAGGCTCGGTTGCCCAGCAATTTTTCTATGGAAAATAGGCTCGGTTGCCGAGCAAATTTTCTAAGGAAAATAGGCTCGGTTGCCCAGCAAATTTTCTATGGAAAATAGGCTCGGTTGCCCAGCAATTTTTCTATGGAAAATAGGCTCGATTGTCGAGCAAATTTTCTATGGAAAATAGGCTCGATTGCCGAGCAAATTTTCTATGGAAAATAGGCTCGATTGCCGAGCAAATTTTCTATAGAAAATAGGCTCGATTGCCGAGCAAATTTTCTATGAAAACTAGGCTCGGTAGCCGATTAAATTTTCTATGGAAAATAGGCTCGGTAGCCGAGCAAATTTTCTATGGAAAATAGGCTCGGTAGCCGAGCAAATTTTACGGAGGAAAATAGCAAATTTTCTTTGGAAAATAGGCTCGTCTCAGCCATAATCAATTATTTTCCTTAATCCCAATTACAAATCTGCATACATGTATTATTGCGAACATTAAAATTGAGATAAGCCAACAACATCCAAGCAACCAACCGACCGTCCGACCGAGCTTCAATGTAATCTCTTTGGCATTGTTTTCATTTTACTGGTTGTTGTTAATGTTTTTTCTGACTTGTTTCAATATTGTTTTGAATTGCTAAGCTTGCGATGTAGGTATGTGTGTCTGTGGTCTCTGTAGTACAAGGAGATATCTATGGAAATATCTCTGTGTGTAACTCTGACAGAGGTGCTTTGTTTGGTGACCTACTTAACCATCAAAGCTGAACCATATGTCAGTTTGTTGTAAGACAGCGCCAGACTCACACAGAGATACCGAGAGAGAGAGAGAGAGCAAGCGAGAGGCACCAAACCACAAAAATATTTAAAGACCCGATTCAATGTAAAACTACTTTACCCAAGTCAAGTCTCCTCCCGTCCCGGGGTACATTGTCATCTATTTTTGTAAGCAAAACAAAAATCCATTTAAACTTGAGTTACTCAATTGTTGCTCATTCGTTCGCTCGCCCGCTCATTAAGGCATTATGGCCTGTTGGAGAAGTTCTCGTGTAATATTTTATTGCCATGGCGGTTATCGTGAAGTCACGCTTTGTTTGCCGTTGCAAAAGTGACGCAACATCAGTGGCGGCAGCCGCAGCAGCAACATCCACTCATTCATTCAGCCATCCATCCTCTGGCAGACAGAGTCAATTACCGGCTCTGTATCGAAGACATCGTCTATGGTGGTGGTGTTGGACCTGAGACGTTTATTAAAAATTCATTTTCATTTGGCAAATACTTGAGCAAAGCTATTTTTAGCTTTGATTTTATTTTCTTGAAGCACCAGATGTGTGAGGCCCCTGTGCCTATGTTGTGAACCCCCCCTTCCTTTGTGGATACCATAAAAAAAAGAGAAATCAAGTTTTTTTTTGATGGAAGATCGACAAGAAGAGAGTTGGGTAATGGCAGAGACCATGCACAGAGAAGGTGACATGAAGTTGGGTACTCTCTTAAATTCTCTCTTAAAAAAACAAACAAGAAAATATAAGATTAATTTGATGCACAAGGATTTCATCTCCTGGAGGCATTTTTCATAACCAAATTCCAAATTTCATTCCAAATTCCAAAGAAGACCAGCAAAGTGTCCTTCAAGAATTTTCAAAGACCAAAATGTTTGCTTTTTTCCTGAGACCCCCTTTTTTCAAAGAAGAGCTGTAAATATTCTTTTCATGGAAGACCATCAGGTTTAATATTCACAGAAGTTTAGAAATATTTTTATTTTCTCTAAAAGACCCGTAGAATACTTTATTTTTTCTAACAGCAGGAGACCTTATATAACATGGGGTCTGGAGGTCAGTTTTATATGTCAGAAGTCCAACTTAGAACAGAATACAAGATAATCTTTCCCACTGCAATCCAGAAAGCCTTTAAAGAAAAAGGCGGAAAGTTATATTTTCATAGAAGAATAGCAGGCATTTTTCCACACTCCTTGTCAGAGAAAATCTTGAGGTCTTCTCCGTAGGAAAATAGAAGGTCGGAATATAAGAATATTCTTGTAGAGTCCCATAGGTCTACCTTTCATAAAATTCCACATAGAACATGTTTCTATATCAGAATACGAATCTGTTGTCCTTTCGCATTTCCTTCAGTATCGTCATGCAGAGACAAGACAGATAGTCCGATAGATGTTTTGAAGGTTTCGAATACATCCCTAATATTTTGAGATATTTTTCAAAACATTTTTATTAATCTCCCACTCCTTAAAACAACATTCCAAACCTTTAACAACGTTTTTATCCAGTCCTTTGCCGGTGAATATTATTAATTCAATTTTAAAGCATGCTTCCAGGCGCTAATTATCTCACGACTGGAATTTATGTAAAACCAGTAAAGAAAACTAAATGTCGGGCGGACTTTGTGATACCCTACTACCCTCGACTTTATGATACCCTACCACCCCCCGACTTTATGATACCCTACACCCCTTTGCATAAAGAAGTAGAGCTTCATATAACAAATAAAAATGGAAATATATAACAAATCGGATAAACAATATATATGGGAGCTATAGCTATATCTGAAGCAATTTCGATCAAATTCGGCATACTTATTTCTAGACTCAATTTGGTCGTAAATGCAAAATTCCATCCCAGTTGAGCTTATATTACACGTTTGGTTGCCGATAAAAGGCAAATCGGACGAAGATATATATAGGAGCTTTATCCAAATCTGAACCGATCTCGATAAAATTTGGCAAAGGTATTTCTGAGCTGTATTTGATACATTTTCCCAAAAATCGTTGTTACAGAGTGCATATTACGGCTGCAGAGGACAAATATAACAAATCGGAAAAACAATATATATGGGAGCTATAATTATATCTGAACCGATTTTCATAAAATTTGGCATACTTGTTTCTAGCCTCAAGTTGGTCGTAAGTGCCAAATTTCACATAATTTGGGCTTATATTACACATTTTGTGCCCAATAAATGGCAAATCAGACGAAGATATATGTGGGAGCTATATCCAAATCTCAACCGATCTCGATAAATTTTGGTAAAAGGTATTTCTGAGCTGTATTTGATATGTCTCCCCAAATATCGTTGTTACAGTGTGCATATTACGGCTGTGGAGGACAAAAATAACAAATCGGATAAACAATATATACGGGACTATAGCTATATCTGAACCGAATTTCATGAAATTCGGCATACTGGTTTCCAGGTTCAATTTGGTATTAAGTGTCAAATTCCATCCCATTTGGGCTAATATTAAACATTTTGTGCCCAATAAATGGCAAATCGGACGAAGACATATGTGGGAGCTATAACTAAATTTTGACCGATTGTCTCCCATTTCATTAATGTTCGTTCTTGCATCAAACAAATGACTTGTGCAAAATTTCCTCAAGATCGGATAATAAATGCGACCTGTACTTTGTTTACAAAAATACATGGTCAGACAGACGGACGCACGGACCTGCATTAATCGACTCAGAAGGGGCAAGGGGGTGCCTAGTTTCCCTGAAAAAACAGGAAGGCCTTCTTTGAGAATATCTGCAACTCGAATTTTTCACAAATTTCAAATTCCTAGAAGTGACTAGCTCTGGCTGTTTTTTCTTAAAAATGGAATTTTTGAATGTTCTGAACATTTGCCTTAAATCTGAAGACAATTATCGAATTTTTTCTTGCCTACGTCTATTTAAGTGTTACTCTTTGCTTCAAATTAAAATTCAAAGAAGGCTATGAAAAAATGTTTCCTATGTGTCCAAATCCAAAAATACCTTCAAACCTCAAAAATGTCACGTTTATATTTTACTTGATCCAGAAGTCGGGGTTACATAGAAGGGGCAAGAGCGGTGGCTAGTTTCCATGAAAAAACCAGGAAGGAATTCTTTAAGAATATCTGCAAGTCGAATTTTTCAAAAATTTAAAATTTTATAAATGTCTATGGTTCTGGCCCTCTTTTTTCTTAACAATGGAAGTTCCGAATGTTCGGAACACTTCTCCTATATTCGGAGACAATTGTCTAATGATTTTCACTTGCTTACGTCTATTAAAAGGTTACTCTATGCCTCAAATTGAATTGTTCTTCAACTCTTTATAATCAACATTAGGCTAATCTGGGTTCTTTCTGCTTGATCAAACATGTTTCAAATATTCAGAATCCTTCCAAAACATCTGTAGAAATTTAATTAATGATTTTCAATCACTTGCTTCCATTAAAATCGCATTCTACAGCTTTTAATTGATTTTTCCCTAGCCTTTTAGTTTTGTTATTTGATCAACAAAATGTAAAGCATACTCTTAGGCGTTAATAATTGTTTGAATAGCATTTATGAAAACAATGAAGAAAAAGTATTTTAAAAGTAAAAAGGACATCGAATATTGGCGAAATATATATGTGGACATTTTCCAGAGATTGCTGGGGATCTTTCCAAGGGGAAAATACTCCTATTAATATACAATTTTCCATAAAAAGTGTAAAATAACTACCAAGAAAATTTCACATATAAATATCACGACTTTTGAGCGATTTAACTTTGGGAAATAAACTGTATTTTAAAACAAATATAATTGTGGAAAAATAGATTATATGCTGGAGGTTTTGCCCATAAAACATGACTCCAGTGGTGATCAATTTTCCTACGTAAAAACCCTTAAACCCGTTCTACTAAAACAATGCAGGCGGCATTGTTAGATTCCTACTTAAAAACCCCTTCTACTAAAATGAACCCATTTACTGGTCGGATTTTTCTACAGTGGGAAATTTTTCAGTAATGGGAAAAGAAATTGAAATAGAATTTGTAATTTGCCAAGTTTTTTTTTCCAATGTAATAATCAACTTTCCAAAATAGCTACTTAAACAAAAAAAATCAAAATATTTCCTATTTTATTTGAAATCCCTCATTCCAAAACCGTGGTCATTTCATTATTTTTCTATGATCCTTTTTATTAATCCTTATTTTCCCCCTCTCTCTCTTCCAGGTTGATGATCAAATGAAACTACTACAACATTCATGGTCCGATATGCTGGTATTGGATCATTTACATCAACGCATACACAATGGCCTGCCCGACGAGACACAGCTGAACAATGGCCAAGTCTTTAATCTGTTAAGTCTTGGACTGCTCGGTGTGCCGCAACTAAGTGATTATTTCAATGAATTGCAAAATAAATTGCAAGATTTGAAATTCGATATGGGCGATTATGTGTGTATGAAATTCTTGATATTATTAAATCCAGGTAAGTATTTCAAAATATTTTAAAATTTGTGAAAAGTGTTACTAACCATTTGTAAATTTCACTTTCAGATGTACGGGGTATTATCAATAAGAAGACAGTGTTGCAGGGTCATGAGAATGTGCAGGCGGCATTGTTAGATTATACGCTAACATGTTATCCATCTGTGACGGTAAGTGGGGAAGTATATCGTATAATGGGAAAGAGGGCTTTTCCAAAATAGAATATTTTTCTAATCTAAAAATGGGGAACGAAAAATAGACATAAAATTCCTTATGGTCGTTTTATATATTTAGAGTATTAGACATATATAAACTTCTAATATTGACGTAGAAATACTTTTGTCCCTTTTTCGTTGACGAGAGGTTTGAGGAAATATTAAGAATGGTTCCTATAGTGTCGATACCGACTAATTTCTGTATTAGTTCATTTTTCTTATAAAATATTTCATAAAAAACATTTGAAAAATTATTTAAGATACTTCATTCAAAATTCTATACCAATTACGATTTAAAAACAAAAAAAGAATCCCATTAAAACATTTTAAGATTAATTTCCAATTTCCGTCGCATTTTTTCTTTAGTTCTCCATTTTAGCTAGTTGATGTCAATTGAAGAACTGTCCTACATTGAATTTCACTTCAAGTCGTCACAGAGATTAGATCTCTAAACAATATCTGCCTCTTTTAATAAGCCCATAGATAATGCAGATGATGGACAGTTTTAGGTTAATTCGGTTTTGATAGAATAATGTCACAATTCTTCTTTAAAACAGCATGGTGTTAAAGCAAACAATATTCTACATCAAATTTCAACCTAAGTCACCCCATAGAAGAAATCAATAAATATTATAAATCTCATTAAAATGTCAAATCAAACAAACAAATATCACATTTCAAGGTTATTTTTTGAGGTTAGTTTAAAAATTTTAAATTTTTTGGCCAAATAACTTAATTTATGTTGATGGTGTCATGGCAAGTATATTCTATATCAAATTTAGGTACTGATCAGTAAAATATTTTTGTTGCTATTTATAACCTTGGTTGCTTAAATGCACGCAACAAAATTGTAGTATACCAAGAAATATGCAAATTAATTTTTTTGAGGTTAATTTCGATTGAGCCACCTTATGACGTAATAACTCATTTTATAGAGTTGGTCTCAATGGAATAAATATTCTATATCAAATTTCACCAAGTGTTACTGAACAACATAAATCTGTAGATATGACCTATACAAAGAAATCGGGGGAAGATTTGCAACCAATTATGAAAACTATGGACTTAATCTCAAAATGCATTTTTGTTTTTAGTTATTTTTGGTATTTAGATTAGATTTAGAGCTTTGGTGTGCTCAGTGACCTGTTGTGAAATTTGATGTAGAATATTACTTTCATTGGCAACATTCTTCTAAAATGAAAGCTTGTGTCTAAATTTGATACAAAACCTCACAAAACAAAAAAAAAAACATCACAAAAAAACTACATAAAGTAAATTCTTCTTTATGTATTCATATGGTTCTCGTTATTTTCTTCATGTTTACATTATCCTGCCAGATTTCTTTTGTTTGGTGACCCATAGTGAAATTCGATAAGGAATCGTTTTTCCTTTGGGCTCATCAAGCTTAAATAAAGTTTTCTACAAAATTTCGGCCCAAAGCCGAAAGACCAGAGAAATTAACCTTAGCCTTAAAATTCATTTTTTGTTTTCGATTATTTTTGGAATTTCGGTTAGAATTTGAGGTTTGGTGTTCTCAGTGACCCTTAATGAAATTTGACGTAGAATACTTTTGCCATTGATGACATCTTTCTAAATTGAATACTTGTTGTGAAATTTTCTACAATATGAACATAACCTTAAAACCACTTACCAATTATTTTCTTATTTAAATATTCAAATTTGATCTGTTATTTTTTTCGTTTAAATATTTGTCCCAGAGATTTCTTTTGTCTGGTGACCCATAGTAAAATTCGCTAAGGAATTGATTTTCCTTTGGTCTCATCCAGCTAAAATGAAGTTTTCAACGAAATTTCGACCCAAAGCGGAACAACAAGAAAAATTAACCTTAACCTTAAAATTCATTTTTTGTCTGCGATTATTTTTGACATTTCTGTTTGAATTTGAGGCTTAGTGTTCTCGGCGACCCATTATGAAATTTGACGTAGAATATTTTTGCCATTGACGACTTTGACCTAAAGTTAATAAGTATATTAAATCCTGACACAATTTGTACCTAAGCTTAAAATCACATTGCAATTGTTTTCTTTTTTAAATATTCAAATTTGATCTGTTATTTTTTTCGTTTATGTATTTATCCAAGAGAATTCTTTTGTCTGGTGACCCATAGTGAAATTGGATAAGGAATCCGTTTTACTTTGGGCTCATCCAGCTAAAATGAAGCTTTCTACGAAATTTCAGCCCAAAGCCGGAAGACAAGAAAAATTAACCATATCCTTAAAATTCATTTTTGGTTTTCCATTATGTTTGGCATTTTGGTAAGAATTTGAGGTTTGGTGTTTTGACGACCCATTGTGAAATTTGACGTAGAATATTTTTGCCATTAATGACATCTTTCTAAATTGAATATTTGTTGTTAAATTTGCTACATTTTGAACTTAACCTTAAAACCACATACCAATTGTTTCCTTTTTTAAATATTCAAATTTGATCTGTTATTTTTTTCGTTTAAATATTTGTCCTAGAGATTTCTTGTGTCTGGTGACCCTTAGTGAAATTCGGTAAGGAATCGATTTTCCATTGGGGTCATCCAGCTAAAATGAAGTTTTCTACGAAATTTCAGTACAAACCGAAAGTGTCGGAAATTAAAGTCAATTTTTTGGTATAATGCGACTTATTTGCATTTACATCATATCTACAGATTTCGTTTCTTTGCAGGCCCATATTAAAATTCTATATTGAATAAATTTTCCATTGACATCACCTCCCTAAAATCAGGGATTGAGTAGGATTTTACACCAATTTGAAAGAATTAAGAACTTCGCCATGATTTTTTTATTTTGATTGGGTTGTGGGTCTTTTTGTATTTATTTATCTTTTAAAAATTGTTTGATGAATATATTGTAGATTGTAGACCACGAAATAAAGGAATTTTAAAGGATATTTTTTCGGAAAAAGGACCCTTATACTGTATATATTCAGTTTAATTAAAAATACTTTTATTGTGTTTTTATTCTAATAATTTTTTATGTTTATTTTCTCCCTACCTTTACAGGATAAATTCAGGAGGCTGTTAAGTATATTGCCGGACATTCATGCCATGGCAACACGCGGTGAAGAGCACTTATATTCAAAACATTGTGCCGGTAGTGCACCCACACAAACGTTACTCATGGAAATGTTGCATGCAAAACGGAAAGTGTAAAGGCAACACACCAACCAACCACCATCAAAATCCACACACACACACACATCTATATATGTAAACGTATAAGGGGCGGGTATTAAATAAACACACACAACAAAAAAGGAAATCAACCATACCACTTAAAAATCATTTTGGAAACAAAAAAAAAAGAGCAAAGCAAGTTACCAACCAACAAAAAAGCAAATCTTCAAAAACCAACAAGGATGTTGTTAAGAGAGAAATTACAGAAAAAATAAATAATACAACAAAGCTAAGCTTAACCACAAAAAAACAAAACAAACAAATAAGGAAAAAAAGAAATATATTTTTGTGACAAATTGTAAAACAAAAACCCAGATGATTTTTCAAAAAAACAAAAGATGTCAAGTGGCACTCTTTGCATCTCTAAAAAAAACTCTGCATACTTTTAGGCGTCTCAAGTTTAACTTTCTTCATGTTTCAAACAAAGTTTACAACAATTTCAATGGTTTTTAAGCGGTCTATTTTCAAAAACTACACACACCCACACATTTTCATTTATTTCGTATGTAATTTTTAAGTTAATTCCTGTACTTTTTTTCTGTTAATTTCTAGGGGAATTTAATGTCTATATTTTAAGTCCTAAAACTAACCATTTAAAAAATGATTGTATAAGTATCAAACTTTGTTGTTTAATTTTAGTACATTAATTCATAAGGTCAAAAAAACAAAAACAAAACATATTTTGTGAAACTTCATTTATTTTTCTTGAAAGAAAAAAAAAACAAAAAAAAAAGTAATTGTTATTAAATGTAAATAGTTTTTTTCTTTTCACTAAATGTAAGTAAAACGAAATCATAATCTATTTTTCTTCATATCCTTTGTGTTTCAAAAAAAAAAAAACTCTTATTTAAAAACAAAAAAAATTAACAAAAAAAAGTAATGTAAAACATCACTAATTATAAACAAAACCCCCAACAACAAAAACAATAGATACCTTAAAAAACACACACGAAAAGAGAAAGAAAATCGTTATATATGTATTTAGATTTAAAGTAAAACAAATCATTTAAACAAAAACTTGTTGCTTGATGTTTAAAACAACTCTGTTCTATACATATAAATATATTATATAAATGTTAAAAACTAAAACAAAAAAACAAAGCGATATATCTATATATATTATTATTACTATTATTTAAGTTAAAAAAAATAAATATAAAACGGATACCACTAAAAACAGCAACAACAACAAGAAAATGTCAACCCCCATTTCAGAAAAAAAAACATGAAAATGTAAAAAAAAAAGAATATTCAAACAGCAATGTTCGTTCTTGTTGTAACACATGGCCTGGAAAATTCAGGGCATAACAGACACCCATTTTTCAAGCAAATTTAATCATTTTTTGATTATAACATATATTTTTTATAATAAAATATATTTCCATTTGAATACCATTCATTCAGAGATCAAGAAAATTGCAAAGCTGAGAATCTTAGATGTTTATCTACGGAAACTTAGATCAAATGCCAAAATATATGTTTTAAAAATTGGCTCAGATCAAAATGAAATTGTCTTTGAAAATCCAATAAAAAAATATAGGCAAAATTTTTACTAAAAACTAAATCAGATTCAAATATTTTCTATCCTTTAGAAAGTATCTGGAATTCTTAAGACATTTTCCATGGAAAATGATCTCAGAGTCACTGAAAATTTAATAAATATTCACCATTGTAATTGCGTCTTAAAGTGTTTTCAAAAAATAGCTATTTTCTTGGGATCCTTGCATTTTATGCAAGAGGTATGCCCAACAATTTTACCAACGACACTATGAGGAATATTTTTGTAGAATATATCGAGCCGCTAACTCTTCATTGGAAGGGTCTTTTTGATACATTTTAAAATCAATTCTCCTAAAAAAAAAGGTATTTTTTCATATGTTTTTAGAAATTTTATTCTAGCGCCTCTTAAATGAAATTTTATCACAACCGAATACTCTAGTAATATGTTCGTCATCCAGTTCTAGAATGGGTCTCAAGATACACCAAAACCCTAAAGTGATCCCAAATGTCAGGAACACAAAAAATGTATAATACATTTTGGGTAATCTTATATGTTTTTGAGTTCCGGCTAAAATCACCAACAACTATTCGATTTATAAAATTGGTGTCAATGGAAAAAATATTCTCCATGAAATTTCACTAGGGGTCACCAAAGGACACAAAGCCGTAGATATAATAAATATGGTCGAAATTTCACAAAACAAATTACTTTGTTTTTTATGGTATTTTAGCCAGTCAATACAAAATGGAATGCATTAAATTCTTTGTGATCTTTACACTTTAGTTGTGAAAAATATATTCAGCAATGATATTGAGGATATTATGAAGCTCATTTTTTTCGAACATTTGAAGATAGGAGCATTTTATTATGTAGGCTTTTTTGGACCCTTATCCAAATGCAATGCATTTTTTCCTAATTCAGTGTGAAGTTTTAACCATTTCTAAACCAGAATATAGAAATTTAATAAGACAAACAAAATATGCCTTAGAACACTCTACCATGGGTCTCTGAATATACCCAAAGCTTAAAAACCAAATCTTATTGTGAAAAATATAAATAGACAAAAATTCATTGTTAAGGTTAAAATCGGACCTTCTTCGAAAACCATCCAAAATCTTGCAAAATAATTCATTTTAGAGACTTGGTTACAATGAAGCATGTGTTCAGAACTAAATTTCACAAGGGGTTGTCGAATGCAAGAAATCATTATATATTATATTTATACTAAAAAATTGCAAATCCAATTGTAAACCAAACCAATATAATTTTTTTTTTTTTTTAGTATTTTTTAATTTTCCCAAATTGACCCATAATAACCCGTTTATAGTGAATTATGTCAATGAAGAAAATATTCCACATCAAATTTGGTCATGGGCCTGCAAAGAGAATAAATGCATAAATATGATATTTAACGAAAAAATTATGTAAATTAAATTATATATTGCATTTTTGAGGTTAATTTTGGTTTTTTGCCAAATTGACCCCTAAGGTTCCATTGCAACAAATTGGTGTCAAAGAAAAAAATATTCTGCAACGAATTTCACAATAGATTGCGAAACAAAAGAAAATTATGAATACGATTTAAATCGAAAAAAATTTCAAAAAAATATATTTTTAATCCAAATTTTTTTGAGGTTAGGTTCGGTTTGCTCCTAAATTTCCCATAAGACTCCATTTAGAGTGGTTGGTATTAAAGGAAAATATGTTCTATATCATATTTTGCTAGGGGTCACAAAACAAAAGAAAACTATAACTATGACATATATCAAAAAAATGTCGCTCCCAAATTGGTTATTCACAAAAATAAATATTTTTTCAGGTTATGTTTAGTTCATGCCAATTTGACCTTTAAAACTTAATTTTAGGGAGTTACTGCCAATGAAAATTGTGTTCTACATCAAATTTCACAATGGGTCGCGGAACAACAAAAATGTGTAGATATGATATAGATGTGGAAAAAATATCAATTCATTTTGGATAGGAAAATATTCAATTGATGTTCATATTTTTGTGTTTTTTTCTTAAGGTTAATTTGGATTTGTGCCAATTTGGTCCCTTAAATTTCATTATAGTGGATTGGTGTCAATGGCAGATATGTTCTACATCAAATTTCATTTGGGGTCACCGACCATAAGAATTGTCTAGATATAATATATATCTAAAAAAATAGCATAAATAAATAAAATATTATATTATATTTTTTGAGGTTCCTTTTGTTTTATGACAAATTGTTCCCTAAGACTCAATTTTAAGTGGTTGGTATCAATGAAAATGGTGTTCCCCATCAAATTTCAATATGAGCCACAAAGCGAGAGGGAACTTTAGTTAGGATATATGTCAAAAATTAAAAGTTTCAAATGAGATATACCCAAAATAAACTATATTTTTAAGGTTAATTTGTGTTTCATCCCAATTTGACCACGAAAACTAGGGTTTCAAGGAATGATGTCAATGAATAAAATATTCCTCATCGAATTTTATTGTAGCTCATTGCCGTAAAGAAATATGTGTAGCTGCCCCTTTATATCTTAAAGGTATAAGGTTTAATTTGGGTATGTGCCAGAACACATATTTTTTTGCTATTTTGAGGTTATTTTTTCTTTTTCCCAAATTGATCCAAAAAACTGCTTCCTGCAGAATCGATGTCAATGGAAAAATGTTCTACATCAAATTTCACTATGGTTCCCAGAATATAGGAAAACTGTAAATATGATGTGTCGTAAAAAAAATAAATTCAAATTGTTGGGGTACACAAAGTGTACAATATTTGTGACTTTTTAAAGTTATTTTCAAATTGTCCCTAATTAAAAAATGTTTATTAAAACTTATCTATTTTTAAATTTCACATAAAAACCATACACATTTTGTATTTTAAATTTTCAATTTATATTTTTTTATGAAAAAAAATCCCCTCTTAAATTCAATGTTATACCCCGAACTTTCCAGTCCATGTGTTATAAATATTATTATTAATTATAAATTTACCTTTACAAAAACTAATGTAAAATAAAAAAAAAATAATTATAAATAATAAAAAAATACAAAAAAAAACAACAAAAACAAGATTTTAGGGATTAAACTACAAACATAAACAAGGAAAAAATATTAAAAAAAAAGAAATAAAATTCAAAAAAATGTACCTTAAAGCAAAACAACTATACATATATTTTAAATATATTAAAAATCAACCAATCAACAACATAAAAGAAAATACAAAATCATATAGTTTATTTTTTAATAATAATTCTCCTCCATATTTTATTTTTTTTTAATTCCTTTACCGTTTTGTTTTATTTATAAGAAAGGTTTATAATAATAATTATATATATTTTTTAAAGGTTTATTTTTTCGATTTTTATTTTTTTTCTCTGTAATGTTAATTAATTATTGATAATGCTTAATTTTATTATTGTTAGTTTGTAAAAGATATTTTTATTTTTTCCTGTAATTTTTACTTTATACGATTTTTTGTTTGTTAAAAATATATATATATACATACACAAATAATTTGGAAAATACACAAATCATCATGTAAACTATTTAAAAAAAAACAACAAATGGAAATTAATAACAAAAAGTGAAACTACTCCCAAGCCACCATTGCAGCAATAAGCTAAAAATCACACAGATACACACACACGAAACTACCTTCATAGTTTATATAGTTCTCAGTTATAAGTTAATAATTTTTTTTTTCTTTACAACAAAAACAACAAGAAATATATACATAATAATTTGTTTTTGTTTTTAATTTACAATACAAGCAATCGAATCAGGGCAATAGTAATTTAAAACGAAAAACAAAAATAAAACAAATCAAATTATATTCCAAAAGC